CCACGTGTATGGGTGCGTGCGTGCGTGCGTGTGCACGTACATGTGCGCACGTACAAGTGTGTGCGTGCGTGTGTGCGTGCGTGCGTGCATGCGTACGTGTGCGCTTGCGTCCATATGTGAAGTGGGTGTTTATTTTTGTGTGTGTGCTGAGGAGTTATGTAATATGTTTATTGAGATTCACGGTGATATTAGTGGTGCATATGTGAAGTGGGTGTTGATTCTTTTGTGTGTGCTGAGGAGTTATGTAATATGTTTATTGAGATTCACGGTGATATTAGTGGTGCATATGTGAAGTGGGTGTTGATTCTTTGTGTGTGCTCGAGGTAGTTATGTAATATGTTTATTGAGATTCACGGTGATATTAGTGGTGCATATGTGAAGTGGGTGTTGATTCTTTTGTGTGTGCTCAGGAGTTATGTAATATGTTTATTGAGATTCACGGTGATCTTAGTGGTGCATATGTGAAGTGGGTGTTGATTCTTTTGTGTGTGCTCAGGAGTTATGTAATATGTTTATTGAGATTATTAATGCTACAAAGACTCAAGTTGCAATACAAATTATGTATATCTTTATTTCTAAAATGCAGCCATTTACTACAGACACTAGGCATTACTGCTGACAATAGCTCGCCTAAAGTTGGAAATCATGAAGCAGACCTTAAAATTCTTCCACCGAGAGAAATCTTCTGATGGGGCAGGTCTCTTTTTAATATTTTAAATGTCTTGCTTAGACCAATGACCCTCTCTACATGAATCCTCTTAGATGCGATACGTCTATCCCTAACAACTGTCTCTGCATTAAGTTGGGATTTTCCTTTGAGCATTGACGGCGTGTTTACATGCACATTACAGCGTCAACCTTAAGTCTCTTGCTTTCGTCTAAAAATAAAACATTTAAGAAAACGTTAATGAAAATATATTACTTACGAATATATACTTTACGAAGGCATTTTAACTTGGTTATATCGCTATGACGATACGATCGGCTATTCGTGATTTCTGTATCTTTCCAACTGACCGGTTGATTGCGCAATCGTTGTAACACCTCTAACTCCCGCTTCGCCACCTGCTGACAAAGATAGCGGCTAACCCCATTGTCCTGGGAAAGTAACTGTTGTTATTTCCCTGGAAAAGTACTCAAAACTACTGGAATTCATAAAATAAGAAAAATAAAGCAATAAATATGTCTGTGTTCATTTTATTAATTCTGTTAATCTCTGTTTTTTTTTCTGAATCAAAAGTTTTCATGTCTTCTATTCCATGTAAGTCATGTAATGTATCTAACTATCTTTTCCAGCTGTGCTAAGTCCGAGTTTAGCTTCACGCGACTGGAAGTTATTTTTCGTATGCATGCGGCCTTACAAAAGCTGTCCGATGTTTAAACATGGCTGCATCCATGAAGGGGAGTGTGCCGAACCGCCGAACGTGACATTTTTTATTTGAAGAAGAACAATTGTGTAAGATACACACATTTATGCCCGGATGTGTCAGACATTTGGCTCCTTTACCCTAATATAGTTGAATGGGTTGGGTGTTACTGCTAATTCTATCCCTATCAAGGTATCAGACAGCTGTGCTCTCTAGTAATAATGTTAGTTTTGTTACTGTTACTAGTGTTAGTGTTAGTGTCACTGTTACGTTAGAATAAAGTGGATGTTGTTATTGAATATTGTTAATGATGTGTACTACTAGTACTACTGCCTACTCACAGGCACTTGAAGCATATCAACAGTAAACATACGACCCGCCATCGCGCGTACACTGACACATATACATATATGTATATGTATATATGTATATGTGTCAGTGTACGCGCGATGGCGGGTCGTATGTTTACTGTTGATATGCTTCAAGTGCCTGTGTGCCTACTGGTAACTAGGGTCCCTAAATTTAGTAATTGTTGGTTTGGGCCAAATTACTGTAGCCTGTAGGCCTACGTATTGAATTTACAGTAGATTACTTGACTGGCATGTGAGCTGTAACACTTCAGTGGCAACAATTACGCAGTGGATATTTAACCGTATACGGCAGAGTATCCACTTCCGCTATTTTACAGTACAGTACAGAGTAGATACAATAATGTAACCCAAACCCAAGAGGATAGGGGTCCTAGGATAGGGGACCTATCCTCTTGGGTTTGGGTTACATTATTGTATCTAAGTACAGAGTACTTCTGAATTGATAGTATATTTATGTACGCAGTGGCTACGCGTCCGGAACCGGTCTCGCTGTATTTATTTAAAAAAACTTGTGATATATGTAAAAATGTAATATACTTGAAAGCGTACCCGTACGGTAAATAAATTTCAAAATCTATAAAAAAAAATCTAGCCTCCAGGCTACGCATCCGGACATCTACTCGCACAGTGCTTGCGCGACTCGCGTACACGCATGATTGCGCAACGGGATGCTCTGCTGATTGTCGAAAATATACAATAGCATCTATCCTTTCATCCGTCCTCTCTCTCGCATCTCTTGGTTGTCCTCCGGACAACCCACAAAAAACCCTTAAAATTGAGCACTGTCGATGGTCCTACCTTCTTGCCCGTGTCTCCCGACGACGGCTCGCTGATGAGGAGGCTGGAGATGGCGGTCGACAGCTCCTGGCTGATCTTGCGGGGCAGGTCGGGGAAGCTGCGCACGATGAGACGTGCGTGGTCGCAGAGCATCAGCAGACTGTCCGTCGCTACGCGCGCCACCGCCATGTTGTTGAACTGTAACGCCACGGCAACGAAACGGTTACTCGCCTGTCAGGGCAAACTTGCGTGACGTGTTCACGGTTCTCCTTCATCGTCTCTGTTGTATTACATCTAGGTTGAGGTGCGTTTATGCCTAACATTTTGTGACCAATATCATTCGTGTGCCTTCGTAACCGCATTACCGAAAAAGTCATTTGAACTTTAGATTATTTTGTAGCATTACATTTGGAGTAGTGATTATTTGGTTTGGGATTGACTAATCTAAGCAGTTACGGCTATGGCAGCATTAGATGCGAAATCTCCCATATTATTCGTATGCCTTCGTAACTGCATTACCGAGAAAGTCATTTGACCTTGGTCATTTGAAAGTGAATTTAATTTTTTATTTATTTAAGATTATTATTTTTATTTTGTAGTATTATACTTGGAGTAGTGATTATTTGGTTTGGAGGTGACTAATCTAAGCAGTACCAGCAATGTCAGCTTCTTTACAGCAGTTGTACAAAGATGTAAGTGTGAAATTGGTTGAGGTGTGCCGAGACAGCTAATCATCCATCAGGCACACATATTCAGGATGTCTACCTGCATAGCAGGCTCAAGTGTCTGCAATAGGCCGCCCGACAATGCCATCTAATGCACGGCACCAATCAACCCGATCGTTCGTCACATGACAGCCCTGTGACATACTGCTCTAGTTCTGTCAAATTAGCTCCCCCATCAACCAATTGCAGGCATTGTTTCTATAGTAAACTCGACAATCTGACATTATTCTGAGACACGATCGTTGCCTGGGTCTAGATCACAGCTAGTCGCACTGTTCAGGTTGATGTAATGGGTCACGTCAAGCCTGATCATGTCAGCGACGATGGTGAGCAGGATTATAAAGACGTGCGCGCAAGTGTGTGCACGCACGTAGTACAGTCAAACATGTTAGCAGTCACCTCTCTAGAACGGCCACCTATCTATAAAGGACACTTGGCATTTACTTGCGGTTGGACTGTATATATGGCGTTTAGACGTCAACAGCCATGCCCGAGTGATGCACGGTACGCTACTGACGATGTAACAATTGCCGTACGCTACGATATACGTGAAGCGATGATGACGATAACACTTGCACTGAGTGCGAGTAGCAGAACATCGAAAGCAGGGTTCGTAGCGGGTCTTCCAAAGTCTTATAAGTACTTATTTTGCCTAAAATAAAATAAGGGCCCTTATTAGTACTTATTTTGGGTGAAATCTTAGAAAAGTACTTAGTAGTCCTTATTTTTTGCTAAAGGACCATTTTTTCAACATTTTCTGTGTTGAATTTCGGCGAAACGGCTTTATATAAATATTATTAGCGTACTTTAATAGTCGGTGATTTATCAGAAATCGCGTAAAAAAGTCTTATTTTGGCCTCTAGAAAGAGTCTTATAAGTCCTTATTTCAACATGTGTCTTACTACTATGAACCCTGGAAAGCCTCTCTCATCTTGGAATGGAAGGTGGCATGAGTGAGTTCCTCGTACAGATAGATGCCGATGCTGCTGATCGCAATACACCTGTCAAACACAAGCGCAGCTGACATGTACACACATGCATCCACACACATGCACAAGCACACATCCACGTATGTACACACGCACATGCGATCGGGGGGACGCATCAATATTAGACACACCATCGTCTTAACAGATAGTGAGTAGATTCTAGTCTTTTATGTGCTTATATTATTATTGGTAGTTATCTTATTGGTAGTTATATTATGGTAGGTTATATTATTGGTATTTATAGTTCAAAATGAAGAAATGAAATATCTGTTAAATGCAAAATAAATACTAATAAGAAAAACCATTGCTAGTGTCACTGTTTCCATGATTCGTAGTTGATTTACTGTGACATGCACCACAGCTTATTTGTTTTTGTTTTTTAGATATTCTAATATAAATAAGGCACAGAGTGTGAGAGTCAGAGAGAGAGAAAGAGAGAGCGACCGAGAGACAGAGAGAGAAAGAGTGATCGAGAGACAGAGAGAGAGCGATCGAGAGACAGAGAGAGAGAGTGATTGAGAGACAGAGAGAGAGAGCGATTGAGAGACAGAGAGAGCGATCGAGAGTCAGAGAGAGAGAGAGAGAGAGAGACAGCGAGCGATGAGAATAAGGTGAGATGGGAGTTCAGTGAGCGTACCTACCAGTCCAGCTGGCT